AACCCTAGATTTACCACATAAAAGATTAACAAAACAGTTTCCTAGCCCATCAATAGACCGTATGTACACTGCAGCTCCATATGCTACTTCAGAAGCATCTGCAAAACAATGTAACTGAACATTCATCAAATTTGAAACTGTAACCTGTCTTGGTATCTCAATTTTTCCTATCTTCCAAATTTCATCCCTGAATCGTGCTGTATGCAAATCAAGTGATAAAGACTCATCCCAACCTAACTTCTCCCTCCACAATGCCTGCATGATCAATTTTGCACGAACTACAACTGGCCCAACCAACCCTAATGGATCAAATATCTGTGATATTATTGACAGAATAGTTCGCTTAGTTACCCGAGTCTGATTTTTATCGATATTAATTTTGTACCCCAATATATCTATATCTGCCTTCCATAACAAACCTAGAGCCTTCGAAGTGCTATCATCTGCTAGATAGTAAGCAATATCATTATTCCTTTCACTATCATCTGCAAAAACCTCCTTTTTATTGGATATCCACTTCCTAAGAATGAAACCAGCAGTTTCTAAAATATGACTTATATCCCTCTTCAATACCCTTGCTTCCTCTACAGATTCTGCACCTGTCAATAAGTCATCCATGTAGAAGTCACTCAGTATGCAGTCACTAGCATCCGATAACTTATCCTTGAAATCATACCCTAACTGGTGCAAACATCTCACTGCAAGGAAACTTGCTGATGCAGTCCCGTACGTCACAGTATTCAACCTATATACCTCTACTGCTTCATTAATTGAAAAACGCCACAATATTCGTTGTAAATCCCTTTGTTCATTTTTAATAAGAATTTGACGATACATTTTTGCCACATCTGCTGCAAATACCACATTGTGTTTACGAAATCTAACCAAAATTGAAAAAAGACTATCCTGTAATTGAGGACCCACTAATAATATATCATTCAAAGAAATTCCATTATCAGTTTTTACAGACGCATCAAAGACTACCCTACATTTTGTTGTAATTGATTCATCCCTGTAAACTCCATGATGCGGCAAATAGTACGCAATTCCTTCATTAGAAGTCTTTTGTACCCTTGTCATATGTCCCATATCAATATACTCTTTCATAAATTCATGATATTGATCCTTCATATCTTTGTTTTTTCCCAATTTGTTTTCGATTTGTATCAATCTCTTGAAAGCAATCTCATATGAATTACCTAATTCACTAATATTTTCAGAAATTGGTAATGTAACTACAAATCGCCCCTCCCTATTTCTGAAGGTAGTTTCCTGAAATATTTTTTCACAAAGAACTTCTTTCCTAGACAATTTATCCTCTTGATTATACTCCTCTAACTCCCAAAACCTTTGAATTTGTTTTTCGAGTCTGTCATTGATTGAAAAATTGCAAAGTCGAACTTGTTCTAATTGTTTTCCACTGACATTACTCATATTACCTGCTACAATCCATCCAAGTTTTGTTTTTTGTAGAATTGGCTGACCCTTACCTAATTTAATCTGTCCTGCACATATCAATTCCCAAAATATAGATGCCCCTAGCAATATATCTATTTTACTCGGTTCCGCAAAATTTGAATCAGCTAAATTTATATTTGGTGGAATAACAAATCCGTCCGCTTTTACCTTTGTTACAGGAGTGGTATCTGAAATTGTGTCAATAATCAAGAAAGTTGAAGTGACTGAAAAATGTTTGAATTTTGAATGCAGTGTTGCCTTTACGAAATGATTAATATTCGAAATTGACTGCCCAATTCCTACCACTGGTATATTCGTATTATTTAGAGGAATACCTAATTCCCTTCTAAACTCCCTTGTCATAAAATTCGATTGACTGCCTGAATCTAATAATACCCTTGCCTCGTGTAATAATCCTGATAGGTCTGTAAAATATACCAAAGCTGTTGATAACAAAACATCTATATTCTGCATTGAGGGAAAGTTTTGATTTATTGAATAATTACCTTCCTGAACAATTTCCTGAGATACTGCAGCACATTGAAATGTTTGTGATGCTCCTGGTGGCTCAGTATTCAACTGTGTTTCTGTTGAATCCCGATTCTGGTCCCTTTTATCCTTGACCTGACTTTCCCGTGATTCTACCTTAGTATTTTGATTATTGTGGTGCAGAAGACTATTATGCTTCTTTCCACAATATTTGCAGCCCCTCATCGTACAATCCTGTACCTTATGTCCATGACCTAGACAATTCCAACAAACATTTGCCCGTTTTACCTCATCCCGCCTTCCAAATGTTGACAATCCCAGAAATTTTTTACATGCATACAATGGATGAAGTTCCCGACATACAGTACAAGGTTTGTTTGACGAAGTGAATGCCTTGGTAAATTTATCTGACTTTTGTTTATACTCATTAGATTGTACATATTTCTGGAAAGATCTATTAGGATCTATTGATTCAAGCAGTTGACATCTTTCATCTAAAAATTTTATAAATTCTGACATTGATGGAAATATATTTAATTGTCCCTGTTTTTTCCATTCCCTTCTGGTAACCGAATCTAATTTTGTTTCCAAAATAAAAATAAGAAGTGTATCCCAAGTGTCAACTGGCTGACCCAATGTTTTCAATGCACGAATATCTTTCCTGATTGTATCAACAAATGTTCTCAGATGAGAATATGATTCCCTCGACATTTGTTGAAAATTGTACAACGATTCTATATGATTTATAGTTATAATCTTTTTATTTTCATACCTGGCCGATAACAATTTCCAAGCTTCAGCGTAATTTTGCGCCGACACCTCCAGAGCTCGAATGACCTCAGCTGCATCCCCCTTTAATGCATTCTTCAGATAGTAAAACCTCTGAATATCTGTGAGATTGGGATTAGAATGTATCAATGTATGAAAAGTATCATGAAATTCCAACCATTCCTTATAAGAACCATGAAATGTGGGAATCTCCATAATGGGCAATCTCACATTTTTTTCTACCAAAGCAGTACCACTAGGTGTAGCACCTACAGAACTATTTATTTGTGTAACTGACCCGTTATTTGATAAAATTTCTGTTGCCTTTGCGATTACCTCAAAATATGATTCCTGAAATGAAATTCTCTCTTGTTCCTGATCTATGGCATTTTCAAGATCTAATTCCTCTATTTGTGATTGTAAAATGTCAAATTCGTTCCAACATTCCTTACATTTTTCAATTCTTCCTGGTATCTGAGATATTTTATCGTTTGTAAATGTTTTGATGAAAGTTTCAAACCTTGTTAATTGCCCCTTGACGACCCCTCTTTTCCGAATTAGTTCATTCATAGCTGATATTTATTTGAAAGAAAAATAAACCAAATGATGACCCTCACCACTGCAAAACTCAGATATATGCCTCGTAGATATCGTCGTCACAGAAGATTGTACTCACTCTGTTCCAATATGCAACTTTCTGACCTGAATATTATGTGTATGCACCCAATGTGCCCCTTGAAGTATAGCTGTGTACTGCGCCCGTCGCTCTCCTTGATGCTGATTTCTGCGCCCAGTTTGCCCAACCGTGAATGTTATTGACCTGCTACTTCGATCCTGCACCACCTCGAAGCTGCCCTTTGACTTCTCCAGATCCAAATACCGCTTAATGTTCTTGAAATGTACCGCCTTTCTTCCCCTTCTTGACTGCTCTAACCGCTACTAGTTCTAACATCCGCTCGAATAGACCAAAATATGTTGGATGACCCAACTGATTTCTATTTCCTTTATGGTTTTTTAATAAAGCTATATACATTTCCCATGTTTTTGTATTTATATTCGAGGAATACAATTTGGTATGAAAACCTGTCACATATATGTGAGTTCTATCTATTTATTAAACCAAAAACTAAAAACAAGAGGTATATGTTACTATACATAATGGCACCTTTCTAGAAACCGTGGACTGTATATACCATATGATAAAATTAATATGCCAATGAAGTGATGTTGAAACTGATTGTCCGAACAATACGACTTCACAATTCATACTTATAAGGTTCTAGAGATGTTTTATCAGGGTATCCTAAATGCACTGGTTATCGACCAGTAAAAGCTTATAAGTAACTATTCTATTGGAGTAGGTATATAGCGATTCCTTGATATAACTTGAAAGTTTTTTGTGAATATTTTTCAAGCGTTTTTTTGCTTTCAACTTCAGATAGGTACCTATCTTCATAAAAGGAAAAAATCTACAATTATTTTACTGGTTCTTGACCATCTCGCAGAGTTCTCGACCATTTTAATGTTGATTCTCGACCATCGTCCATCAGATTGATTCACAAGGAAATTATATGATTGAAAATCAATTGACATATGTGAACATTATTATGCAAAAATAATGTTATACTGATCAGGCAGACTCCCAAAAACTAAAGAACTAAAAAATGCTAAACTTATTTTCAAACATAGGAACCTAATGGCCATTGCCCCTGTTATTGTTTTCGATTCCTAAATGAACAATAACTATATCGACATAAAACAAATTTATATGAATTTGTGCAGATGGAGTATAGCTAAAAAGCTCGGATTCTAATGGGATTGTAACTGCCTATAACCAACAGGTTTCTATTGTACTTTATGATTTTTTGTGATAATGCAATTTTTAATATAAACGCCGCTAAAAACAAGAGGAGTTATAGCAATCATGATCGGTTTTACCTTAGACCTGACATGAGTTTGTTCTCATCATAATATTATATCAACGACCAGAGGCAGTTGTACCATTTGTCTGACCCAAATATGAAGAAATATAGCTGCACTCATCCCAATCATGTTCAAAATAATAAAATGAAGTTGAACTAGACTCTATAGTCTATAGAGTCAAACTATAGATACTAGATTATCTGTTATTCTTTTCCAATTCACAAAGAGCCATCTTTTGTAGATAGTCGGTAGGTGTGAAAGGATAACTAAATGACCTAAGTAGACACCTAACTAATACAGTAAAACCGATACAACATTCCAACTAACAAAGAAGATGGTAGGATTGGTAGGTGGCGCTGCCTCTGAAGGAATGTTCACATTTTTGTCGAATGTCGATTGTTGTTTGTTTTGCTAAATTATTAGTTCCGGAAAATAATAATTGTTCTTCGATGTCTGACTGAATCCGCAACAGACATGAGCTGTCCTGTCACTAAAGAAAAGGTGGAATTCGTCACCAAGCAATTTTTGTGCAATGTGCCTCTGAATAATTTTCAATGGAACGTAAGTAGTTCTAACCTCAAAATTCAGTTCTGATTATCTAAACAGTATCACAGGATATTTTCAGCGACCTCATACTAGACGAAATTGCTCAGCAAACATTACTTGACAGCACTATTAATTCCAACTTAGTATTACACCTACCCCTTCCGACAAATTATCAAAAATCTTTTCTCAAACGCATCATTGATTGTTTAGAAGAGTGTAGACAGAGATATAGTGAATTAAAGGAAACTGTAATCTGCGATGAGATATATTCAGCATACGGCCGCTTGGTGGCAATAGCTGTCACAGAAGATAATTTCAAGCATTACATGATCAAAGACAAGGACAAGGTCATAAGTTTGAAAGAGAGCAATAATTTGATATCTGACGGAACTACTGGGTTAAGGACATGGCAGGTAGGCTGCAATCCGATATGGTGTTATTTGTAGTTATCATTTACTTATCAACTATTCATCACTAGCATGGGCGGAGAACCAGAAAATCACTTCGAGAGTGAAGGGTCACATTAGTATTGTTAGTATTTGAGTATCTGCTCAGATAGGTTAATTTTTTTTTTCATAATTGCGGTATCACTGAAAACGATTTGATTTCATTTGTCGTCACAAATAATTATGTAATCCCTCGGAGTCCTAAAGTTGGTCTGGCTGGAAATGGAACTAAAGTATCTAAGTATATAATAATATTAAAGTTGTGAATCATAAATGTTTTGTAATAATTGTACATAATTGTCATGAGTTTTATGGGTTTTCATTATATCCTTGACAATTATCTGATGAGGGCTAACATTATTCATTGTCCACCTGATCGCGCTACTGAAACGTGAGTTCAGGGTTGGTAGAACTGATAGATATAGGTACTTCTTCTTTTCGTGTCGTTTTTGGCCTCTTCTACGATATCTTCTTCTCTCTCACTGTATAAGAAGTGATCGTAAAGTTACACATTGAGAGTAAAAAAAAACGTCAGTCTGCTCAAGTATTTTCATAACTTGAGGTTTTCTATTTGTTCAAATATTCTACCTGAATATTTTCAATGAAACATGCCACAGCCTTTGAGGCAATTCGGTAAAATTTTGGGATTTTTTACTTTGTCATTGACCTCACTTCAGAGCCCGTACTCATCGCACCGCTAGAGATCTCATGCACTAGACCAGCACCAGAGCCCGCTTGGCCTCTGATCAAGGGCCCCCGAAGCCTAGCCCAAGCCCGAGAATGGGGTGAGGATGATGAGCCTCATTTCATGTCTCCGTGGTCATTTCCTGAACAGCTCTATTCTGTCGCAGAAGGCCAGTATTCTGCTCAGGGGTTTGATTCATAGCTGCTCAGGTTTCTCATATGCAGAGCGTAAGCATTTTCTTCTCTGGCGAGCCATTGCGGGACATTCGCAGAAAATATGGGATGAGGTCTCTTCATCGTCCTCAAAACACGCTGAGTCCTCAATCACACCGATGCAGGCCATATGTGTCTCCTGAGCACATTCCGATTATATAGATACTAGATCATTTGAGTTTTCATTCAAACAGTAACTTACTTGATGAAAAATCTCAATTATTTCTATGTATTTTCTTACCAGACAGAAGGGTGCATGTGCTCCTTGATGTGTACCCACCCTGCTGCTGGTGACTGCATGATGGTATCACTACTTTGGAGTTAGAATCCAACTCCCCAAAAGTCGAAACTTTCGCGGGGTTAGGGAGAGACCTAACAGCTCATAGTGGATTACAAACCACAGTAGACGAAGTATTCGAAAAACTAGGTGAACCAATATATAGAATAAAACGTCATCCAAATCGATAAAAAAACTGAAATGTTGTCCTACTAGTCTCCTCCTTTCGGAAATAATTCTTTGTCATCGAGGAACTGATTCACAATAAATCAGTCAGGGTATGAGATTTCGTCTTCTATACAGGGGTTTTTGCTGCAGACATGCCCTGAGAATTACCCGCACATATTGGAGCAGTCCATATGAAATGTCCTGATTCCTACATGTGTCATTTACGGTCTTGCATCCATGAACATAGTTCCAGGACATCAGTTCGAGCAACTTTGTTGGCGCGTTTTTTTTTCTTGGTATTTGTCACTATGACGGTCATCTTAGTCACTGGAGTCGAACAACCTTCCCCCTCTTATTTCCATATTCCCGTTCACAACTTCAGGAGAATCGTAAATAACAAATCATAGAAAAGGATGTGATACAAAATAACGAATCACCTATAACTACCAGTTCTCAGTACCTACTCAAAGAAAATGTTGACAATCCAAAGAGGACGTTGGTAGAAGCTGCGCCAGATTTCCTTGTTGGCTGGGGGCTGATGCGTATATTTTATAATATATTCAACTCAGTTTTCTTCTGATCAAAACTTGCACCAGTCTCCTGTGCATTCTGAGCAGATATAAGCGCTCAGCCCGTTTTTGCCAGATCATAGAGAGGATAGCATTATCACAGAAAAGTTGCATTGAATAAGCTAAATTATAACCAATGACTAACCAGAAGCCTATTGAATTGTTTATAATAATCAACGCTTGGCTTCTATCTACTAAGACGTGACATTTTTTCCAAGTGTACGTACCTTGAGGTGAAAATAATAAGCATATTGAATGAGATGTTAATTGTTTTCCATTTTTCTTACTATTATTCATTATTTCATAAGGTCTAGGAGTGGTAAGGCGATATGCTGCCTCCAAATGAGGGTGAAAGAAAATAGGAGAAAGATTGTATGATCCCACACCAGCAAACACCTGCTATTTCAGTATTTTCAGTTGCTCAAACTGGTAACTATGTCCATGGACGCGTGACATGAAATCGCATACGCAACGTAGTTTACCGCTGCAACGGTGTATGTAGGTGGGTGTGGAAAACTACCAGCTGAGCGTGAGAGCGGGCCAGCTGCTTAAGTAGACCTCGGTCTCGGGGGTTAACGATGATAGTTAGCAGGCCTGCCACTGCGCATATGGTAGTGAGTACATTACTAGCCTACGTGTATGTAGGTGGGTGTGGAAAACTACCAGCTGAGCGTGAGAGCGGGCCAGCTGCTTAAGTAGACCTCGGTTTCGGGGGTTAACGATGATAGTTAGCAGGCCTGCCACTGCGCATATGGTAGTGAGTACATTACTAGCCTACAAAACACAGCTGAAAAACTCTGAAAAGAGAGCTGATGGGCGGTGCCTGAAAAGGATGTTAGCCAGCTCTCTTGAGCGAACCACATCAGTCATTGAAAAACACTTGGGGTTGGCAAAAAGGTCCCATTGGGGACTAGTTGCTGACGTGGAAACGTCCCCCACCAGTACCAGTACCAGTACCAGTTACCGCTGCAACATGTGTGAGAAATTCTGTGGGAGTTCTCAATTTTCAAATACACTCACTCGAATGTTATTGTTATTAGCAATCTCAGGTTGATCATCCTATATATCATAGTGATATTATGTTAATCTGAAATAACTGAAATAGTTCACTTGCCCAATCACAATTGACTACAATTCTGTAGAATGCACGTGAACTGATTCAGATCAGTTCCAGTGAAATATTTCAGTTAGTTCAGAACGAGAAAATATCACTCATATCTGGATAGTATCAAGCAGTGGATTTTTTTATAGGCTGCCCTAGTCTTGTCAGAATGGATATTCAAAAATGAGTCATTGTTCAAGAACGAAACAATTATGGAATTAGGAGCAGGCGTAGGGCTTATAGGTCTTGTTCTTCGAGAGTGTTCTCCAAAGAAAATCTACCTCACAGACTGCCACCAAACTGTTCTGAACAATTTATGTAAAAATCTAAAAATCAATATAGACAAGTATCGAGACAAGTATAGACCAGATGCTCAAGAAAACGAAGACTCGAGTTTTCCCCGAGGTTTTCCCATTGAAGACAGGTAGTGTTTTTAAAAACTATTTCTCATAATATCTCTATGAATTGAATCACCAGTTTTTTATTGAACATTCTGCATGAGAGTGGAAATAACTCCATAACTTAGGTTAAAATGAATTACTTGGTTGAGGACAACATCGCATGTATGCATTATGCATTGTTGAATAACATGTTTTCTTCACGATGTAATGTACGAAATACCATAACTATGTTATTTCATTCTGAATCATAGATTATGATGTACTTTGTTGTTTGTATGTTTCTTCAAATGTGCAATTCTGCACTACTCAAATTATTTTCATCAAAGAATAAAAAGAAGAAAATATAATTGATAACACGTTGATTTATTCTTTCGGGTTATAATTGAGGACGTTTCTCTTGGCAATTTATAATCATCATAAGTACCTACTACAATAATGTTTGATAGCAACCTTAACACACTCATCTCTTCTTGCGCACAAATGAATATGTATTGTCGTTTGAATATTATTGACAACGTATTTCTCAGTGTCAAATATTATTGTTGGTATATGTTATACTATATGAACCATCTTTTTATCTATATATCTTTCTGAGTTCATAGAGTCGAAATTATATGTGCTTCAAGATGTTTGTACCATAACGTTGGACCACCTGACACCTATGTATTGAAACTACCTTGGGAAGAAGTCAATATAGAAGAATGTCATAAACTTGGTGTGATCGATAGCATAATAGCAGCTGACATTGTCTACGACGAAGACTCATTCGTGGCATTGGTTGGTGCTTTAAAATGTCTCACTGAGAGCTGTAGTGTGAAGCGTGTAATTTTCTCTTGTACCGAGAGAAATCCTGAGACTCTTAAGTCATTCCTTTTGCAGATGAGTGAGTCCAAAATAATACACACGTCCAATATAAGCTAATGTCCTTATCTTTTTTTTAGATTCTGCTTCATTCTTCCAACAGGAGCTTGAAATTCCAGTTCAGAATAATTTCATTTGGCCGACTGATACACCTGTGAAGTTGTTCAGTTTTAAACGATCGTTATGATTAAAAAACCTTCATCATTCTTTGTTTTCACTCTCATTCAAATACAGGGATTCGTTTATAAACTAACTGTATTTTATTCTTGTCTCTTCCATCATTCCTTACTTCTATTCAGAATGAGTTTTTCTTTGAGAAATTCCTTATTCTCCTCCGCCCCGGCGGGTGAGAAAGCAGCGATAGTCAGCTGCGTCACCTGAATTCAAACTAGCGGAACCATCAGTAATTCAACAAGCAACAGATCCATTACTAAATAGTATAGTTATTAAATGCGCACAAAAAGAAACCAAAAGAAATACTATCGTTCGAAGAAAAATTAGATGTAATTATCCCATAAAATGACGACATGGACGTCCTAAAGTGGCGTCTGAGAGAGCCTATGAAGACGTCAAAATATCACAGCCATAAGACGTCATGTTTAGTCGTCATATTGACGTCACGAAATGACCTAGTGAGGACGAATTGAAAAAAGTTCCGAGATATACAGGATGTCCCATGAGTCATGGATCAAAAGGGTCATTCGCAATCAAACTAACCGTATATGTGGTTATCCAATTGTTTATGGTCCAAAAGTTATTCAATTTTTATGAAAAACACGACCCATTTGAAATAAATTCATTACAAAAGGCTGTTCTAAAGAACCCCGTTTGTTGAACCTTTTCGGAATCGATTTTAAATAGACAACTTTTTATTATAGTTCGATATCTTCGAGGGGTAGTTTTTAAATCTGCCAGCGCCATTAAAAAATTGACTGAATGAATATTTCATTCAACAAAATTTAAGGAAAAAACATTTTTCTCCATTGATAGGAAGTAACACACAGGCCATAAAAACCATTTCTGGGGAATGGTACATCCATGCGGATGAAATTCGTAAAAGAAAAAAATCACTCATATGACATAGTTTCATTAAAATTTGATTTTTTTTTTTTATAGAAATGAAATAAAATTAACTTGAACTATCAACAGTTGGCTTACCACATATACGGTTAGTTTGATTGAAAATGACCACCTTTACTACCACACTTTTTTGATCCATGACATCCTATATATACGGTATTGTAGGTATGTATTACATAATTATATAAACCTGAGATGCTTATAACTAACCACGAACGTTTGATGGAATTCATTTGTTCATACGCTGTTCAATCCTAGCGCTATCATTACTACCTACTTACGCATCCGCATCTCTATATGACAATATCGTTAGCACCTCATATTTGTATCTAACATTATGGAGCGAGCGTCGGCGAGAGGTAAGCTGAATGAATTCATTTTCAGTCAAACTATCTATTGCTGTGAAAACTCCTAACACAGGTCGGTTTTTACTCTCAATTTTCCACACATTTACAAGTAAAAATCAGATAAACAGGGTGATCCACGTTTGAGTAAAGACGTCTGCGGCAATTTTTTCAAATAGAACACCGTATACATATATTATTAAATTTTTCGAATTTTCACAAAAATCTGAATTCTTAGAAAATCACCCAGTGCCTTTATCAAAACATCAGTGATATATTATCAAATTTTTTGAATTTTCACAAAAATCTGAATTCTCAGAGAACCACCCAGTACCTTTATCAAAACATCAGTGATACCCTGAGTTTATTAGTACCAATCTGAACGCATCGAAGCGAAATTGGAGATAGGTATCCTATGTTTTTTACGGCGTTTTTTGTATATACTTAGCAAAACTGGATTCAGCAGACTGTAGTCAACACCAATGATTTCACACAGTTAACACAGATTGATCCCAGAAATATTCGAGGGCATCACATCTGTGACTCGAATTGGAAGTACCACTGAAATCACAATAGCTATTCTGGACCCATTTGATCATTTTATGATTCACATTATCATGCCAAATGAAACTAAGTACGTATTAAGCGACTCATCAGTCAGCATCAAAATTAAATGATTCCGTTTGTTACATAAATAGACAAGAATGTGAGGTTCCAGTGAGTCTCTTGGTTGTTAGGGAGCCTCACTTACACTTTAAGTCTCAAATCCCTCAAAATGTGATGAATAATGCGAATGTTTTGTGAAATAAAGAGTCCCCTGGCAATACCATTGATGATGTTTCCTTGTAATTCGCATTGTTACCTACCGAGACATGAATGTGACATCCCAGGGATATTTGTGTTTGCTGGGCACTGTATAGTTAATCCATCTTCGAAACTGTCCTGTCCTGTCCGGCTTTTATATTCTTATTATTCTTGTTTCATTATTCAGTTTTTTTTATTGCAACTGTCTTCTTGCGAAACAAGTACCTATATATTATAATATATCGACGAATAATGTCTGCTCTGTAGGTATACTAGATTTCAAAACCTTTTTGAGGGATGATTTCAAACACGGTCGAATGCTTTCTATATATCCAACGCCACATCAGCTAGAGATTCCCCATGTTTTTCTAATGAAGCTTGTATCGATGGCGAAAGCCATAATATTGATGATACCTGAGCTTTCCAGATATTTGATAGTATCAATGTTGATGGCATCCTCCGATAACTGATTATAGGGCAGGTTTTTGTTTCTTCTTTGGGGATTGGTTGGACTCTAGCCATTTCGCAGGAAGATGGAAAAATACTCGACTTGTACGAGATGGTAAATAATTTGCAGAGAATGGGTGTCAATTCTGGTGCACACCTTTTGAGAATAATGGGTGGCATTCCATCAGGACCGTTAGCCTTATTTATTTGGAGAACAAGCAGAATGCGTCTGATAGTGTGTTGATGGAAGACGATTTCAGGCATTCGACTTTCAACGGGTGGAATATTTGCGGCGGCACTCCTCCCTGGGAGTCTGAAGTGAAGTTTCCTGCGACCATATCTGCGAAAATGTTTGCTTTCTCTCGCGATGTTGTTGCTAATATGCCGTCGGCTTTGGAGAGTGGTGGAAATTAACTATTTGTAAAATTCCTTCCGACTGCTTTAGCGAGGAACCAAAACGAACGAGAGCCATTGGGACAATCAATGAGTTTCGATCTCATTTTGGCATTGTATGATCCTTCGGATGGATATTCTGTTTGGCTGCAGTCACTCCTAGCTTCAACATATTCTGCTTTAGTCACGCGAGATGAGAGTTCTTGCACCAGCGATGGTAGGCTGTTTGTTTCAAGGCAACAGCTCTAGAGCAGTACTTATTGTTGAACCAGGCTTTCGAAAGATGTGATATCTTTTACTGAACGATCGTAGCAACTCAAGAGGAAATTTCAGTAAGAAGACTGAACAGCTCAAAAAACTATATGGCGGAAAATATCGTTGATTTTGAATGATATTGAAGTGAATACTGACTACATCAATTAGAGGAATAATCTCGACCATAGAAGATTGATAATGAAGAAATAAAAAATAGTTAGATCCATCAATGGCGAAAAGAAAATCACTTAATATCGTTTAACGATGCAAGATTCTTGTAAATCATAATCGATAAAAAAACACATAACCTTGAATAATTAGTTCACTTAGATCATTATTTGCATGAATGAGTTCGTTTTCTTCGGTGAAAACGTGGGTAATTATAATGTATTGAAAATGTGATTATAGTGAACAGTGCACCTCAGGCAAAACAAACTCAGTTTGATGTCTATATGATGTGAAAAATTTGTGCGTGAATTATATTTTCATTTTTGTTTCGAGTTATTTTGGTACCATCCTGTTTGTATTAATTCAGGTTTGGGTTTTTTATGCCAAATAATGGGAGTAAATATGTTTTTCCACAACTAGCTATAAAACCTACCGTTATGTACTCCTTTTCGAGGCGTGAAGTGTGTGGTTCTTGTCATTTTAAGAACCACTGATCAATAAAGACATATATAGCCACCTCTGTTGTAATTGAGTCAAATTAACTGTTCTGATGCGAGTTCGCAAGAATAGCACTCGGATCTAGTAGGTATTTATTAATAAACATGATCTGTCATGGTCATGGCTACTATAGCTATAGTGCTGAAAAAAATCTATTGTATCTACACCTTGGCAGTAGAGATTATTATTTACACGGGACATTATACCCCCTCTGCTGAAGCCTCAAGAAATAATCTTGGTCCTTGGGTAATAATGATATTATTCACTACCTTGGTGTATAAATAACTATTTTAAATGTAAAAACGCGTCAAAATCATATTTCAATAAAAATGATAATCGCTCACATCAAAGAGCAACTGATGAGGAATCAATGAGCTGTACTCAGAGCTATCTACACTGAATAGTGTACTGAATGAATTAATAAAAACGCGGCAATTCCTTTTGGATGCCCATCATATTTTATCTTCCTATATAAAGGTATTTCCATAATGTATACGGTCACTTCGATGTTACAAAGCATTTATAAAAATACTGTTCTATTTGGTATCAGTGGGGACAATGATGGAAATAAGTAGATGCGGTGTACTTACTGATGCACTTTTGTTTCAGAGATTCTTCTCGACCTGTCGAGAACAATGGTTTCTGCGATCTTTCAATAGATGGCGACATTGCACAATAATGAGGTCTGTCAATTCTGAAATTGCCGCAGAGATTCTTCGAATTTCGAGTGAAATAAACCTACTTCTACATATGTTCCGCGAACCTAAAATGCAATTTGCCATTTTAGTTTCACTCGTCACACTCGTCAAAGCAGCAATAGCAGCATCACCATCTAGAAGAAAAAAGTAGATTACTCGATATGACGTAGAGAAATCATAGTAAGCGGTCGAGTGATTTTTCTTAAGTTTTCAATACGTAGAAATGGTCGAGTACGCGCACCATCCACTTATTTCCATAACTGTGGAGACATTTATTTTTGGAATTTCTGGGTCATAGAGATACGCCACTGTCCTAAACGTCTTTTATGTCGTTCGGAAATACAAAACGATAAAACAGGATGAGTGACATGGTGTGGTCTTGCATACGATATTATCGATATGTTTGTCGTTCTACTGTTCTACTTTCAACGAAATAATGCAGCTGACTGAACAGCGACAATAATTTGTCTCGCTATAAAGAAAAAAAAAGTAAATGCTCTTGCCAAGAAGAAGCAAAAATACTAAGCGAAATCAATAGAAAGTAAGGTGGTAGGTACCTATT